TAACAGGGTCTCCCTGACTACTGAGTGCAGAATGGAGTCTAGGGGGCAGGAGTGGAAGCTGGACACCAGCAAGGAGGTGGCTACTACAGTAGTCTTGGTGACTGAGGACAGTGCTGGCAAGGGAGGGGCTGTGAAGGGAATAGATTGTGGATCTGTTTCGAAGGCAGAGCTAACAGGTTTCCTGTCAGATTGGCTTTAATGGTATGAGGCAGGGTTAAGGAGCTTACTTTCGTCCTGTGGTACGTTGTGTGTCCAGGAATGATGGTGGCCTACGCAGAGACTGTATCCTAGCCGGGACTCCGGGAGGGAGTGAGCCCTCAGGGATTTGGGCAGAGGAGGGTCACAACTGGTGTTGGTCCTTACTTCCTCCTCCTCCCACACCACAGCCCCGGAAAGCCAGCGCCACCTGCAGTTCTGCCACAGCAGCAGCCTCCAGTGGCTTGGAGGAGTGGACCAGCCGGTCCCCACGGCAGCGGAGTTCAGCCTCATCACCTGAGCACCCTGAGCTGCATGCCGAGCTGGGCATCAAGCCCCCTTCCCCAAGCACTGTCTTAGCTCTTGCCAAACCTCCTTCGCCCTGTGCACCAGGTCAGTGACTTACTGACAGGGAGTATGCAGGGGTTAGGAGGCACTGCCTAGTTCCTGGGCCTTGCCTCTGACTGTCCATCTGCCCCAGGTACAAGCAGCCAGTTCTCAGCAGGGGCCGACCGGGCTACTTCCCCCCTCGTGTCCCTGTACCCTGCTCTGGAGTGCCGAGCCCTCATTCAGCAGATGTCCCCCTCCGCCTTTGGTAAGCCTCCTCTGTCTAGGGGCCAGGGGCCAGCTGGGAGTTGGGGAGAGATGGAAGAAGCAGCAAGTCCTGAGAGGGGGATTCTGGAGCCTTTGGCTATCTCCCCAAGAAAAGGGAATTTTTCAGGCCCAAGGGATCTGTCCCTGAGGGGATCTGAGTGGGGTTTCATAGGCCTGGAGGAGCCTTCTCCTTAGAGGAGTGAGAGGGGCCAAGGATCAGTGACGGGCGAGGAGAATACAGGCTGAGAGTGCTTCATCATCCTTTTTCCTTCCTCTTGCCCAGCAGGTTTGAACGACTGGGATGACGATGAGATCCTCGCATCGGTGCTGGCCGTGTCCCAACAGGAATACCTAGACAGTATGAAGAAAAACAAAGTGCACAGAGACCCACCCCCAGACAAGAGCTGATGGAGACCCAGAGACTGGAGACCGCCTCCCAACCCTCACCGCTCCTGCCCTCCGGTGCCACCCCACCTTCTGTGGCTTTCTTCCCTTTTGCCTTCTTCCTTCTTCCCTCTCTCCTTTCTTTTTCCTCCTCCTCACTTCCCTCTGGCTGGCCCACCCCTGCACCTCCTCTCATTGCTGCCACCACCACCATCACCTGTCTCTTCGCCAGCTGACGTGCCCTGTTGCCCCCTGCACAGCACCATCCCTGCATTCCACAGGGGACTCGGGCAAGGGTGCCGAAGGTAGGCGAGAGGCACACAAAGACAAACTACCTGGCAGCCAGGCAGCCCCGAGGAGAGAGATTCAGACAGAGGAAAGTCTCCCTGCCCCTTCTTCCTTCCAAGATCAGATAAACTTGTTACCCTACCTCCACAGGGAGGTGGGAGGAAGAAGTGGGAAATTCCCCTTCCCAGTACCCCAAGAATGTCTGAGCCTTCAATGTTGGATTTTTTCTTTATTAAAGTGTACTTTTATCTTATAAAATCAACCAATCAAAAATGATGTAGACAACAGCATTGGCTCTATGAAGGCGGCATCTTTCTGGTTTGGGGGCAGGCAGGCCATGTGGCACAGAGGGGCCACAAAGATGGGGTTGCTATCTCTGGCCTCTAGCTCTGTGGTGGTGGGCAGGGTCTAGAGTGTGAGCCAGGGTGGGAGGCAGGGGTGGCAGGTGTCACGTGGGCTTTGGACAATGAAACTCTGACCTTGCTGCATTCCTTTTGCTTCCACCACCACCAGTCTCTGGAATCTCGGGGTGGGGGGCACCTTTGAGGATCATGGCCGCCACCCAGGATTTGAGTGTGGGGAGTGGGAGCTGCCTCAGCAGATGGGGCACCCGTGCCCTGCAGGTGTTGACAAGATCCGCCATCTGTATTGTCCTTGGCACAATAAAACCAAATGTCAGTTTCCCCTGAGCACCTCTGTTCTGTGTGGGGCAGGGGGTTGGGGGGGCCTCTGGGCAGAGGTGGTGATGACGTAGGACTTGGCTTGACCTCTGAGGGCCACATGCTCTCCGGTAGGGTCTGTGGGGTCCCAGAGTTTGTTCATATTTGATTCACTGCTTACTAAACCTCCTTCTGGTCCTGTTACCACCAAGAAAGCTTCGTCTTTGCCTGCTGCCCCTGCCTCAGTACTGGCACAGGATGTAGCCTGCCCACCTCATTTCCTGGGGTGTGTAATAGGAGCAGAGGACTGGGAGCTGGAGGGCAGGGACTGAACTTGCAACTTCTCTGCCTGCCTCTCATCCCATAAATGTTCACTCTTTCCTTCTGATTGCTTGATGAGGAAAAGCTTTGGAAAGGCACAATGGACACTTCATAGCAACATGAGTTTAATGGAAGTGACCAGTGGGGTCTTCGCCACTGGGTTTTACAAGCTGAGGAATGGCTAAACCCTTTTTTGTTGTTCATGTCCCCCAGTGCTCTGACACTTCTGTCCCTGCCCTTCCTAGGGGTAAAGCCAAGGCAGAGAAGGATGGCTGGCCCCCAGGTTTTGTCACATGTCTTTTTTGCTGTGCCTCAATAATGGGGCCCCTGTGGAAGGATGTGCATCCAGCTCTGCAGGTGAGGGCGTGGCTGGCTGAGTGGCTGTCTGTGGGGTGTCTCTGTGGAGTCCACCGGTCAAGCACGTGTATGTCGGAGAATTGGTTTGAAACCTTCCTCGGCTTTTTCTACCTTTGTAGCCTTGGTCAGATCACAGGCTCTCTGAGTTTCAAGTGTTCCGTGTGTACGACAGGGGTGATTAATGTCTCCTACCTCATGCTCTCTCTGGTTGTGAGCATTGAGAGAATGCATATGGTCAACATAATGCATAATGGCACAGTGCCTAGCACATTCTGAGAGCTCAAGTGTTAGCAGATATTATTTTTTATCCTAATGTTGAAGTTTCTGTACCCTTTGGCCCCTGTATACCTCTTCTTGCTGCTTTGTCCAGTTTCCTTGGCCATTGCCGAGAATTTGCCCTTCCCCTGTCCCGAGCCCCCAACCTTGTCTTTCAAGACTACCTGGGTCACCTTCTGAGAAGCCCTGTGTGACCCCATTCACATTCTCACCTCTATTTATGAATATGTCTTTACTCCTTCCCCACTAACTGTACTATCAACTTCCTGGGCAAGAGCTATGATGCCTGACTTATCTGTGTATCTCTAATATCTGCATCCCCGCCAGGGCCTGGCAGGCTTACAGTAGACCCTGAATAAATGTTGGATGAATAAGGGAGAATACATGTCTGTATTTGCTTTTTGAGTGTTGCCTATGTGTGTGTGACTGTAGTGAGTCCAAGTTTTCATGCACTTCTCAGTGTCTAGTCGTGTGTGTGACGAGGGCTTGTTTCCAGGTGTGTCAGATGGTGACTGAGTGTGGGACTCTATCTCTGACAGTTTGTGTCTGTTTCTGAGAAAAGTGCATGTCTGCGTGGGTCTGTCTGTGACAGCGCATCTGTGGTTTCTTTCTGATGGAGTGGATGTCCGTTTGTATTCCTGTGACAGATTCTGGGTAGCTATTTCTGGACAGTTTCAGTGACAATGCTGCATGTCTGCTGGTGTGTGTGTATATGTGACTGGGTCTGTCCATGTCTGTGTTTGTGACACTGCCCATCTATGTGGCTCAGTCACGAGTACATGTTGGCCTTTGGAGCGATGCATGTGTGTCTTTGGAGCATCTGTGTGTCTTCCTGTGACAGACTCTGGGTCTCTCATTTCTGGGACAGTACAAGTCTTTCTGTGACAGTGCATCTCTGACAGTGCCAGCATCTGTGACAAGTTCTGGTGGTGTGTCTGACAAGGACATTTCTGTGTCATTGTCACATGGCAGTGTAGGTGTATGTGAATCTCTCTGGAATGCCTGTCTTTTTGTAACTGTATCTCTGGGTGTCATTCTGGGACATAACTTTTTCTGGCAGCATGCCTGCCTGACAGTAGATGTGTCTCTGTGACGGTGCATATCTGCATGTGTGTCTAGGACAAGTTTACATGAATGTGTCTGACAGTACATATGTGTGTATCTCATATGGTACTTCTGTGTGTGTGTCTTGGAGTGCATGTCTGCCTGCAGCGTGAGGCCTATTTTTCCCAAATTTGTGACTGAGGATATTTTAGCTCTGCGAGCTCTCTGTTTCTCTCTCATCTGGAGGCACACCCCCAAACCACCACCACTCTGGCTTGCTCCCACCCCCTGCCGTTCCAGATTCTAGACCTGCTGACTGGGCTCACGGCCAGATTTAGCCAGGTCTGTCTAGGTTACGGGCTCCAGAAACACCCCACAGGCCGCTGCCTCCAGGCGTGGGAACGCTGCCTTTGACCAGCGCATCCTCCGCGGTGGTGGTTAGGGGGGTTACCCCTCCCTGGCAGCTGGACAGGTTCTTCCAGGATTCTCAGCTTCAGTTTTGGGTCGGAGGCCGCCGGTCGCCTAGAGGGCTCTGGTCCTGGGTGAGGAGCACTCCTAGGAGAGAGGGTCCAAGCCACAGGCCCAGATTCTTAGAAGCCAGGCCTGGCGTTATCTCCGCGCTAATCTCGAGGCAGTGGCGGCAAACCAACTTCCTAGGAAAGGAGGCGGTGCAGTTATTTTTTTAAGTTTATATCTATATATACACACATGCACACACATATATAAAAACAACCCCGCGCAACAACCAAAACAAATGCGGTTGCTGCAAAGGGATTCCCAGAACCAGCTTCCTCTTCGCCCGCCCCCCTCGTTTGCATGCAGGCCCCGCCCCCGCGGAAGATCCGGGGATGTATTTGCATAAGGGGGTACTTGAAGCGTTGAGGGTGGTATGCAAATAGGGACTGGCTCCGATTGGCTGGGGGACAGCAGGTGCCTCGTCCGGATTGATCAAAGCCAAGTAGGCGGGGCTGTCGCCCGGGGCGACTCTCTCGGGAGGCGCGTGCCCCGGCTCAGTAGCGTTGGGGCTGGCGCGCGCGGCGAATCTTAACATTGCGCCGTTTGCAGGCGCTTCTGGGCCACCAGTTTCCCTACCTTCCACCCTGGCGCCCCCCAGTCCTGGCTCCCCGGCCTCGCTGCCCCGGGCGTCCACGCCCTGCGGGCTCAGCGGGCTCAGCGGGCTCAATCTGCGCAGCGCCTCCTCCATGTTGACCAAGCCTCTGCAGGGGCTCCCGGTGGCCCCCGTGACCCCCACGACGCCGCCAGGTGAGCGAGGCTCCCCTACCGCGACTAGGCCAGGAGGGCTGAAGTGGTTGAGGGCTGCGCGAAGGGAGGGGAAGAGGGGAGAGGGTCGCGGCCGGGCTTAGCACGCCGCCACCCTGAATTCCTCGTCTCCGCCTGCGTAGGAGGCAAGGATCGGGAAGCGTTCGAGGCCGAGTACCGACTCGGCCCCCTCCTGGGTAAGGGCGGCTTTGGCACCGTCTTCGCAGGACATCGCGTCACAGATCGACTCCAGGTATTCACCACGAGGGTCTTGGGAGGATCAGGTGTGCGCATGGCGGAGGCGGGAGTCCCGGGGCTGGGATGCTAATTGACCAGGGAATGAGCTTACAATGGTGTGTGTGGTAGGGTCATGAGGACCAGGATCCGGGTTGCTGGGGGTGTTCGAGGGTGCACGCGCGCGTGCGCGCGCGCGCGTATGTGTGTGTGTGTGTGTGTGTGGCGGTCCAGGTGGGTATGTGGGGGATAGGGGGGTTCAGGGCAGGGCGTCTGGAGGTACAAAGAGTGAGACGGGGGAGTGCGGGTCATGAGGTCTCTAGACCCTGGGATTCGGGGAATGTGTTTATGTGTGAGAAGACGGGGACCTAGAGCTGAGATTTTGGGGATTTTGGAGGCAGGTGTCGAGTGTGGAGTCGAGAGGCCCAGGACCCCGATACAGAGTTGGGGTGTCCTGGAGCTGGATGGGAAGATCGAGGGCTTGGGGTGTTTAGGAAATTCGGAACTCAGGACCTGGAGTCCTGAGTGAGGGGTCCTGAAGCCTGAGAAGGGAGAGCCCAGGGCCAATGATGGTGAGAGAGGTGAACTTGGTTCTGGAGATTTGGAGGGCAGGGGAGAAGCCCCAGCTCATTTTGGGTTGGGTGTGGTGTGGTTAGGACCAGAAAGACTAGGGTGAGGGTCAAGACTGGGAGGGGCCTGGGGGGGTTATCTGCTGGCCCCCTCACCTCAGCCCTCCTCTCCAGGTGGCCATCAAAGTGATTCCCCGGAATCGTGTGCTGGGCTGGTCCCCCTTGGTGAGTATCTTTGGAGTCCTTCCCGACCTGGCGACGCCATTTCTGGCGATGGACTCACCCCCTTGCCTTTCTACGCTTGTATGACTCCTTGGGCCCTGTAACGGTGAGAACACTCCTACCAGCCCATGTTTATTCCCCTGTGGTGCCATCCACACCTCCATGCAGTTCTGACTCACCCCAATTCCCCTAGAGCCCTGGATTCTCCCCTCCGACCCCCCTTTCTCATCTTCCCTCCAAACGCTGCCTCAGGGGCTGCCCGCAGGGCATGCTGGTGGGGAAAGGGGGGCAGAGGTCACTGGTTGCCATGGTGACGGTGGCTGCTTCTCTTCTGCCGTTGGAGCGCTAACGGACAACAGGGCGGGTCTGGGCAAGTTGTAGAGGCGGGAGCGCCCCCTGGCGGCCTCTGGGAAGCCTGCGCCTGCGCAGCCTGTGAGACTCAGAGGGAGACACTGCGCCTGCGCAAGCGGCATTTTCATCACCGTGAGAAAACCTGTCTGAGGCTGTGCAAGTCAGTGGCCTGGCCAGGAGAGGGCCCCACCTCAGGCAGGAAGGCGGCTTCTGGCAGTCTCTGTGCCCGTGCAGGGCTTCTAGAGTGGGGCTGCTTTTGTGGCCAGTAACATTTATTATGCCTTTTATTGAGCACCAACTGAATGTCACAGCCATTGCTTCATTGTAAAAGCTTACAGTGTTCCAAGTCTCACTAAATACTTTCAGTCAGCATGGTTCTAGGTGCTTGGTGACAGTGACAAAATATCATATGACAGCATTATTGAGTTCTTACTTTGTGCCAGTACCTTTGCAATTAATAACTTTCAGCTATTTAACAAATGTATATTGAGCATCTGCTGTGTGCCAGGCACAGTTCTAGGCACTTGGCAAAATATTAGATTTATTGAGAGCTCATTTTATGCTAGGTCCTTTTCTACTAGTTGTTTTCACCTATTTAAAAAATATATATTGAGCCCTACCCTGTTACCCAACACTGTTGTTAGCGCTTGAGCTGTGTCAGTGAACAAAACAGACAAACCATTACACGGTAATATTATTTATTGAGTGCTAACTCTGTGCCAGACTCTGCTATAAAGTGCTTTTATCTATTTAACAAACATTAATTGAGCACCTGCTGTGTGTAAAGTACTCTTCTCTCTCTGGAGATGTCATTGAACAAAACAGATAAAATATTACACAGTACTGTTCATCAGTTGCTGCTTCTGCTGAAGACCTTTTGTTAAGCACCACTTTCATTTATTCTTCAAGTATTTACTGAGCTCCTATGTGCATAGGCATGAGCATAGGCTTTTGGCTCAATTCACCTTCCCAATGGCCGTGTGAGTTTAAGCCCTTAAGACCAGGAAACTGAGGCCCAGGGAGGAAAGTGGATTGCTCAAGGCCACACAGTCAGGAGGCTGAGGGGCTCTGATTTAAGTTCCGGTGAGAAGTCAGCCTGAGAGCTGCTGGCCTGATGTGTGTTCTCTTTTCTCTCCCTGCTTCCCCCCACAGTCAGACTCAGTCACATGCCCACTAGAAGTGGCCCTGCTGTGGAAGGTGGGTGCAGGTGGTGGACACCCTGGTGTGATTCGCCTGCTTGACTGGTTTGAGACACCAGAGGGCTTCATGTTGGTCCTTGAGCGGCCTTTGCCCGCCCAGGATCTCTTTGACTACATCACAGAGCAGGGCCCGTTGGGTGAAGGCCGAAGCCGCTGCCTCTTTGCCCAGGTAGTGGCAGCCGTTCGGCACTGCCACGCCCGTGGAGTTGTCCATCGTGACATCAAGGACGAGAACATCCTGATGGACCTCCGCCGGGGCTGTGCCAAACTCATCGATTTTGGTTCTGGTGCCCTGCTTCACGATGAACCCTACACTGACTTTGATGGTAAGCCTTCCCTAAATCTCAGTGGGGAGATTTTTTTACCCTTTATCTTTATGACCTCTTGACCTTTGACCTCCAGTGCTAAGGTGTCCTGTAACCCTTGATCTATAATACACCTTTATAAGCTTCTCGATTTTTAACATTGAGGACTCTCAAGCCTTGCCCCCTGATAAAGTCCATCTTCTGACAGTGCCCTGACCTTGTTCTGGGCTCTTACTCTGCTGAGGGGATCCTGTTATTATCCTGAGTGTTCTTTTTCTGGGAAGGGGATCCTACTTTTAAGTGCTTTAATCTGTTGAGGGTAATCTGCTGTTATCTTAACTGCTCTTTTTCTGGTGATGAGATCCTGCTGTTCTATTTAAAGAGCTCCTATTCTGGTAAGGGGACCCTGCTCATACAGTGAGTTACTTAATTCTGGTGAGGGGAGCCTACTTTCTGGGGAGGGTGGGGTGGGAAGAAGGACATTATCAGAGAGTGGTCTAACCTCTGGCTTGTGTTCAGGGACAAGGGTGTACAGCCCCCCGGAGTGGATCTCTCATCACCAGTACCACGCGCTCCCAGCCACTGTCTGGTCACTCGGTATCCTCCTCTATGACATGGTGTGTGGGGACATTCCCTTCGAGAGGGACCAGGAGATTCTGGAGGCTGAGCTCCACTTCCCTGCCCATGTCTCCCCAGGTGAGGCCCTCACTGGCCCCAGCCCAGTGGACTCCGTCCCTCCCAGGGACTGGTGCCCGCAACCTACTGCTAATCTCCTGTGTGCTTCTGCTCTGCAGACTGCTGTGCCCTAATCCGCCGGTGCCTGGCCCCCAAGCCCTCTGCCCGACCCTCACTGGAGGAGATCCTGCTGGACCCCTGGATGCAGACACCAGCCGAGGATGCACCCCTCAATGCCCCCAAAGGAGGTCCCACCCCTTTGGCCTGGTCCCTGCTGCCCTAGTCCTGGCCAGGCCCCCACTAGTTGGAATAGCCATCCCACGGCCATGCCACAGGGATAGATGGACATATGTTGATCTGGTTTTACAGGTCACTAAAAATTCAGTGTTACTAGGGTCAGAGATTGGGGATCAAAGGTCAGAAGACATAAGCCAGGTCTGCCCAGTCCCCATCCCAATCCTGCTAAGGAGCCTTCCTCCCAGAATTTATGGTTTCTTATTCTGGAGAGGGGACTTCCTTCCTTCTCATTTTGCTAAGGGTGTTTATTTGGTTGAAGTTACTTTTGTTCTGAGCCCCAGGACACTTATTCTGATGAGTTGTAACCCCTATACTGGCACCTCCTGCCACCACCACACAAACTTAGTTGAAATGCTCTCACTTGGGCAAGGGTGCTTTCCTTCCAATACCCTAGCAGCTCTTATTAGCAAAGGGACCCTTTCCCCAAGCCCAGGGTCTCATATTCAGTGAAGCTGCTTGCCTACCTCAGCCCAGGGTTGCTTATTCTGGGGGAGGTAATGCCCTATTGTTATCCTGGGGTTATTAGTGGTTTTTTTTCTTTTTCTTTTTTTTGGTGAGGGGACCCTACTCTGTTATCCCAAGTGCTCTTATTCTGGTGAAGAGAACCCTACTTCCATGATTTGGGAAGAAATGGGAGATGGACACCACCAGAGTCCACTAGGATGGGGTGGATGGTTTTTTGAGGGATGGGGTGGGGGAAATAAGTCTTGTTGTTTGTTCTCCTGGGGCCCTCCCTCTCCACCTTTTTCAATTCTTGCTGCCTCCTTCTGAGCCAGGATTGTCCAGTTGCTGAAATGTAAATACTTATGTATTAGGCGGAGGGGAGCTCCAACTGTGTCCTCCTCTCCCTTCTCCCTCTGCCTGGGTTATTTAAAAAGCCATGTGTGGAAACTCACTATTTAATAAATGTAATAGAATCAGAAGCGACTGGCCATTTGTAGATGCAGCAAGGAAACCCACTATTTAATAAACGTAATAGAATCACAAGTGACTGGCTGTTTGTAGATGTTGTGGGGCATTTGTGTATGCTGAGCCAAGAGGGAGATGAACCGGATCTCCTCTGCCTTCAGGAAGCCTCAGTCTTGTGGTGCCATCCTAAAGATGTTTTATCGGTTCATTTCAGCAGGACCACAAAGAAAAACTGTTGACCACTCCCCTCCCCCCAGCTCTTATGTAGCACCCAGTATGTGCAGAAGGGCTCTGTTGGAGAAATATTGTAGACCTTGAGGATGTTTGGACACATCCCCAAATCAAAGGTGGCCAGCTCGGAGGCAGAAAAAACTCCTCCTTTCCCCTGATCCCAGGGGAGGAAATAAATCGCTTCCCCATGGGGAAGAAGAGCCTTCTCAAGGCACCGGTGAGGGTGGGTCCGGGTTGAGCGCTGACAGGAATCTCTCCAGCCCGTCCTTGTTTTTTAATAACACGCGGGTGTAGTCACCCGTTTTGCCCTTACCTTTTCACCTCTCCCTTGCCTTCTTACCTGCTCATCCCTCTCATCGCTCCTTTCTCAACTCTTAATTTACCTGCCCTGCCCTATTCTATCTTGGTTTCACTTGTCCTGACCTCAGCTGTACCTTCTCTTGCCCTGCTTCCAAAAGCTAACCTGTGAGCCTCTCACCTGCTGGCTTACGTGTCCCTTTCTTTCTTGTTGTCCATCCTTAGTGGTGACTCACTTGTCCTCTCTTCTCTCAGTCTCAACTCTCCTGTGCCTTTTCATTTGGATAGCCTCTACTGCTCTGCTTTTATCTGCTAGCGTACTTGCCTGGCCCTCACCTGCCCCGCCCCCTCAAAGTCCCATTTCCCTCCCAGACGCCCGAGGGCTCTCCAGGAGGCGGGCCCTCACCGGGGATGGGAAAGAGGAACTTCAGTCCAACCCGGGAGCACCTAGGAGTTTTGATGCGCAAAGGGCGGTGCCATCTGAAGAAGGTGCCAATAAAGAGCCAAGATGGGAGAGGAGCAGCCGAACCAATGAGACGGGGAGACGGATGGGCGGGTGATATGGAAAGCGGAGTGAATGAAGACAAGGGCGGGTCTAGTAACGGGAATGGGCCAATGAGGCTCTGCAAGGATGGCGGGAGGCTGAGCTGGCTGCGTGCCCAGTCTCCCGATCCCGACGGAATTTGGAAATCCAGAGACCGCTGTCTTCCATTCAGTGTTCAGGAGCGGACCAGGAAAGCCACTGCTAGAGCCAGCCCCTCACTCGCCCCAGCCCCACCCCGAGAGGCCCGGAAGCGGAAGTGACGGACACGGAAGTGGCCTGCTGTTGCCGAGGGGACGGGCCAGGCAGATGCCAACATGGCAGCGGTTGGGTCTGGCGGTTCTACCGCGGCGGCCGGGCCAGGGGCTGTCTCCGCGGGGACGTTGGAGCCTGGGACCGCGAGTGCGGGTGAGACAGGCTGTGGCTGAGCAGTCGGCGGCGGGGCGGGGGTCGGGATCGCTGGGGGAGTGGTCAGGAAGGTTCCTTACTGAAGCGAGAGGGAGCATCCCGTATGGACCGACTTGTGTGTGTGTGTGTGTGTGGTGGGAAGGAGGGGAGGGAGGACGGAGCGGATCATTGTGAGTGTTGGGGGGGAAGAGACCATTCTGAGGGTGATGGGGGGGTCCCTTCCACGTATGGAAAGTAGAGACCATTCTGAGTCTGGGGGAGTTATTTTCCTTTGGGGAGGCTAAGACCATTCTGAGTGTGTGTGAGGTCTGTCCTTATAGAAGGGAGAGAGCGTTCCGAGGGTGGAAGAGTTCTTATAGAAGGGAGAGGCTATTCTGAATGTAGTGGTTTCTTCCTTATAAAGGGACAGAGGCTGTTGTGAGTTAGGGTGGGGCGGTCCTTCCTTATATGACTTAGAGAGTCCATTTTGAGGATAGGGATGTCCTTCATTATATGGAGAGAAGACCGTTCTGGGGGTCCCTTCCTAATGGAGGTAGAGTTCGTTGTGTGTTGGAGTGGGAGGGTCCTTCCTTATATGGTGGAGAAAGGACGTTCTGAGGGTGCTGGGTTCTTCCTTATAAGCGGGGAGAGTTCATTGTGAGTGTGAGTGGAACTAGGAATAATTCCTTGGCTGGAGGTAGGGGGATGTGGTGGTGGGAGGATGACTGGACCATGTGGAGTATAGGGAAATATTTCCTTATATCGTTAAGGGAACCGGACCATTCTTGGTGGAGTAACCATTCATTATATGGGTTCAATCCTTGGGACAGTGGGGGAATCATTTCTTATATTTGTTAGCCCATCCTGGGTCAAGAGTGATCAGTCATCATAGGAAAGAGGGATTGGAGAGACCATTCTGAGTGTGGGGGAATGGAATAATTTATTAGATGGGAGAAAGATGGTTCCTTAGGGGGTGGACATGTCCTATAGAGTGGTCTCATTCCCTCTATTGGGGTATCATTCTTTACATGGGACAATCCCTCATTTAATACAAGCATCATTTCATGTAAATCTTCAGTTTGCACGTCCATAAAATGAGAATCCTTATAGTTCCTTTGGAGATCAAAGCGATATAGGGGTCTGTTGAGGTAATCCATATAAATCCCTTAGCCCAGTGTTAGGCACACAGTAAGCACACAATAAATGTCGAGAATATAGTTGGTATTCTGTCCAGGGGAGAGTTGCTTCTTACTCAGGAGAGGGAGAGAGGGAGCCGAGGTGGATCTCCAGGGCCTGCCTCAGCCATTTCCTGACACCTCAGCAAGGATTCCAGGTATGGGCTGGACACTGGGCGGGGCCCACTTTGCCTTTCTGGCTCTTCCTGCCTGTGGCTGAGGCATAGAAGCAAGCAGGCGGGATCAGACCCCCACTGGGTCCGGACAGGCAGGCCGAGGGAGGAGGATCCTGGTTAAGGAGAGGAGAGGGTGGTGGTGTGGCTATACCCCAGCAGCTTCTGACTCCTTCTTCCCCCTTGCTCCTTCCATTCTCACAGCTCACCGGCGCCTCAAATACATATCCCTAGCTGTGCTGGTGGTCCAGAATGCCTCCCTCATCCTCAGCATCCGCTATGCCCGCACGCTGCCTGGGGACCGCTTCTTTGCCACCACTGCTGTGGTCATGGCCGAAGTGCTCAAAGGTCTCACCTGCCTGCTGCTGCTCTTCGCACAGAAGAGGGGTACGAGCCAGGGAGGGAGTCTATGCTGGGGCTGGTGGGTGGGACTCCGTGCGTGTGTGTGTGTACCCGCACCCACTTTGGGGGCTTGCTGGGGGAGTAGTCCCGTGTCTGTGAAACTGCCTGGGGAGTGTGTAAGTGCAGCTAAGCTGCCTTGTCCCTCCAGCCACACTTTTATAGCCCTAAGCCCCAGGAGCTGGCCTGTGTGGATCGTAGGACTGAGACAGTCTGTGCAACAGGTGACCCTTACGTGACTTATTTACTTCTCTTTAACTTTCATAATGGAGAATTTCAAACACATACAAAATCGGAGAGGATGATAAAATAGTAAAATATCCGTGTACCCATCCCCCAGATTTAACAGTTATCGACTCATGGCCACTCTGCCATTGAAGGGCATCAATGACGATTCACTCACTGCCAATCTGTATGCCTGCCCACCTATCTCCCTGAACTATGTCCCAGAGGAAGTCTTATTTTGAAGTAAATCCCCTGGTATTATCTTGAATAAATATTTTGGTACATTTAGAAAAAATAACTGCAATGTCTAAAAACTATCTATCAAAAAATTACCAATAATTTTATAAGTTAATAAAATAATCAAATATCCAGTCAATGTTCAAATTTCAAATTTAAACAATGTTCAATGTTCGAGTGATTTCTCAAATGTCATAAAAGTATTTAAAAATTGGTTTGAATCAGGCTTATATAGGTCAGCGTTGGTGATTGGTTAATGGCTTCTAGGGCTGTTAACCTCTAGATTCCCCTCCAACTCTTTTTTTTACTCTCTGCAGTTAATTTCTTGAAGAAATCAGGTTGTTTGTCTTATATACTTCGGGTAGCCTGGATCGTGCTGACTGCCTTCTTGTGGTATTGTTTCACGTGTTCTCCTTTCCTCTATATTTCCTATAAGTTGAGTTTCTACTAATTTAAACCCCTCCCCGAAGGCTGCCTGCTTTAAAATGTTGCCCAGTCGTTTCTCTATAAAGGCCTTGGATGCGCCTCTGCCCTCTGTGTTTACACTGAAGAAAGCATTTGTACCTGCTCATTAGCTCCCCAGCCCTGGGAGGCAGCAGGTTAGGAACCCACCCACTGTGTCCTTGATTGATTCTGAGACACTTCTGAGGGAACTGTGTGGCAGGCCCTGCTTCGGCTGTGGAGGTGGATGTGTTAGAGTGCAGACGTGCATCTTGCCCTCATAGGGCTGACATTTTACATGGGGAAAAACAAATAGCTACAAACTTAATCACAGGCTTTCATCTTTTATCTGCAATTTCAAACCCCCTCCCCCAATTTTTTTTCCTGAATTAGCTTGGTGGCAAAACTTGGCCTGACCTGATGTGGGGCTCTTGGTGTGTTTGTGTTTTTTATTTTTCCCATTTGGTGTGAATATTTATACAAGTCACTGCAGAAATATGAGTGTGCTTGATTATGGTGTGCAGCCCCATATATATGGGGTGTGTTATGTGAAGTATGTGGTATATATATCTACCATGTTACCTCTGTAACACCTGGAAATTTCTGAACACCAAAATCTCTGGGCCCAGGAATTTGGGGTAGGAGATGAGAGACCAGTGACTATTCCTGGGATTAATGCCGGAAGGGCAAGGGCAGGGTTTTGTCGCGGGAGTTCCTGCAATGACCTTTTGCAGTGGTTGTGGGGTTTTCCCTGAGGAGTGACACTCAGCTGAGACTTAAATAATGAACTGTGAAAAAGTGGGGTGAGCTTTGCAGAGGCTTCATGATATCAGAAAGTATTCTCATTTATTGATTGGAGCAGGTCTCAACCGGCCTTTCTGCTTAATAGTCAAGCCTGCATTCTTCCACGTGGCAGGGGCAACTGTTGGTGTGGGTAGGGCTGACAGAAAGATGCCACCAAGTAGGAGATGGCCCCAGCCGTCAGGCAGCTCAGGGACCAGTAAGGAGCTAGGACAGGTCTAAAAGTTGAGTCTAAAACTTCCCCTCTGTTCAGTAAACAGTCCCCCACCCACACTCCTAGGGCATCTACTGCATAAGCTCCTAGTTAATGCTGGTAATTTCACTGTACAAAACGTGTGTTGAGTGCTTGCCCTGAATGGGGCTCTGTGCCAGGGAGGTCGGCTGTAAGATGAATGAAATATGGCCTGTGATTCTTGGACACAGTGTTAAGGATGATTCTTTCGTGTCCATTAAACTGAGTATCCGAAAGGCCCGCTGGAGACGTGGTTGTACTGTAGAGAACTTGAGAGCACAGACTTCGTTCTAGCCCTCGGAGTCGAAGTGTGGTGGGGAGACACAGGACCGTCCCGGTCCTGGCCCTCAGGGGATCCCCATCTTTGGTAGTCGGTGCTAAAAAGGGCTCTTCTCCCCCCACCTAGGTAACGTGAAGCACCTAGTTCTCTTCCTCCATGAGGCTGTCCTGGTACAGTATGTGGACACACTCAAGCTCGCAGTGCCCTCTCTCATCTACACCTTGCAGAATAACCTCCAGTATGTTGCCATCTCCAACCTGCCAGCTGCCACTTTCCAGGTGAGCCCCAAGCCCAGCCAGTTCCACTGGGGTGGGGTATATAGAAGGCTGAGGGGGGCTGCAGAGAGCGGGAGCTGTGTCACCTTTAGAATGTCCTTGGAACTCCCTCAACCTCGTCTGTGAGAATTGGGAATGGAATTGGTAATAGCTACTCACTGAGATGCTGGGATGATTAAAAGAAATAATACTTGGGAAGAGCCCTTGGTTGGCAAGAGATAAGCTGTAGGTTATTTGCAGGCAGCCTTGTGAAATGGTTCAAGAGCCTGGATTCTGGGACCAGGCTGCCTGGGTATAAATCCCAGCTCTGCTCTTCCCAGCTCTGTAATATTAGGCAAGTCACTTAACCTCTCTGTGCCTTAGTTTTCTCATCTTTAAATTGGACGTGACAATAGTGCCAACTTCATACGTGAGGATTAAATGAACAAATTCATGTGAAGTACTTAGACCCAAGACCCGGCATAGAGTGAGCGCTATGTAAATGTTTCCTGACATTTTTGTTGTGCCTGACTCATTTGCGTCAACACGAATTTATCAAGACCTCCCTCAGCACAAAGTCTACCATTCATTCATCACCTGGTGTGTGAGATGTTGCACATACAGCAGCTGTATCTTAAAGGTGATGATGTCAGGGGTCAGACAGGGCAAATGCTTTGTTCCTCGTCAGAGAGCCAGAAAATGGGGTTGGGATGTGGACTTGGGTGTGGCCTGGGCCTTCCTTGCGCAGCCATCCTCCTGTGTGCTTTCTGGGAGACACTGCAGAGCTATTTAGCTGCATCTCAGTTGATGGCCAGTAGCTAGACATTTTTGCTGTCTTTACTGTCATCTACCCCACCCTGTCCCTCCATTGTGCCAGGGGGCCCATAGTGGATGCTGGCCGCCGTGTGCACATGTTGGGGGTTGGGGACAGCCCTCAGTGCCTTCCATATGCCACTCGCAGGTGACGTACCAGCTGAAGATCCTGACCACGGCCCTGTTCTCCGTGTTCATGCTGAACCGCAGCCTCTCCCGGCTGCAGTGGGCCTCCCTGCTGCTCCTCTTCACTGGCGTCGCCATTGTCCAGGCACAGCAAGCTGGTGGGGGTGGCCCACGGCCACCGGACCAGAACCCTGGGGCAGGCCTAGCGGCTGTTGTGGCCTCCTGTCTGTCCTCGGGCTTCGCAGGTGTCTACTTTGAGAAGATCCTCAAAGGCAGTTCAGGCTCCGTGTGGCTGCGCAACCTGCAGCTGGGCCTCTTCGGCACAGCCCTGGGCCTGGTGGGGCTCTGGTGGGCTGAAGGCACTGCCGTGGCCCGCCGCGGCTTCTTTTTTGGGTACACGCCTGCAGTCTGGGGTGTGGTACTCAACCAGGCCTTTGGTGGGCTATTGGTGGCTGTCGTTGTCAAGTACGCCGACAACATCCTCAAGGGCTTTGCCACCTCCCTGTCCATTGTGCTGTCCACCGTTGCCTCCATTCGCCTCTTTGGCTTCCACGTGGACCTCTTGTTTACCCTCGGCGCTGGGCTGGTCATCGGTGCCGTCTACCTCTACAGCCTCCCCCGAGGTGCAGCCAAAGCCATAGCTTCCGCCTCCGCCTCCGCCTCCGGGCCCTGCACTCACCAGCAGCCTCCGGGGCAGCCGCCGCCCCCGCAGCTGTCTTCCCACCGTGGAGACCTCAGCACGGAGCCCTTTCTGCCAAAGTCAGTGCTGGTGAAGTGAGGGCTGGTGGCGGTGGGGGGAGACAGGGAGGGGGACTGGGTGGAGGGTGTTGGGCATTTGCAGGACCCAAGTCGCCACTGGGGCCTGGCTCCTCTGGGGTTGGAAGAGTTTTTCTCCCAGGTCACAGAGACTTCTGGAGGGGCGTGGGACTAGGCGGGGGGTCATGTGAACCCTTCCTTGTAGGCTGACCTTCCTCCCCTGGAGGGAGTTTTTAGAGCTGCCTCCTCTGCCCCAGTCTAAGCCATCTGGGGACCGGGTCAGGGGTGTTGTCATTCAAGGCCTTTTGGTCTGACCCCCTCATTTGGGGGGGGGGGTGTCCCCTCATACCTGGGAGAATCCCTCCCAGCAATCCCACAGCCTTTTTAAGGACAAAATGGACAAAAATCCTACAGCTCTTTGATAATGACTACCTGTGGGGTTCGGTTTTCCATAGCTTGAGGCCCTCTCTCCTCCCTCACAACCACACTGGATCATGCTAGCAGCTCAGTCTTTTTGTGGCCTTGGGGCAGCTTCCCTGACAGGAGACCCTTGAAAATGGGCCTCTTGTGAGCACCCAAGTGGAGAGGACAGGGTGAGAGCTGAGGGGTGAGAGCTGAGATTTTCGCATCAGCCCATTCTGGGGGAGGGTGCAGACGTGGCCATTTGGTTTTTAGTGGGTTGGGGATTTGTGGTGCAATCAGGTAATTAATGATCCAGGGTGTGGGAAAAGCGTGGAGGGGAGGTCATTGAAGTGGCGGAATCTCACTGAATCTAAGACACTGTCAATTGCCGGATGCACGGTTATCATCTGAGACGTCCTGAGAGGAAAAGTAAAGCTGCTGACCACACTCTTGGTACCCCACTGGCTGTATGAAGCACCCTACTTCGTGAGGGGGGGGTGTCTTAAAATTGCTGAAATGTGGAACCTGCCCCCTGCACTCCCCAAAGCTTATTAACCCCTTAACTGTCTCCCAGGGTGTGCGTGTGGATGTGTGCGCGCGTGTGCATGGAAGATGCCTGGGCTGTCTTTGCTATATGTAAATAGGGCCGTTGGATTTTTATTTTTGATTAATTTGTTCTGATTTTTGGGTTTGTTTTCTAAAGAATTGTAACGAACAAATGTCAGGATACCCGATGCCAAATAAAGATGTTGTATTTATCTAGTCCACGTGTAGCTTTCTGACCCAGAGGACCCGCTCTCTCTGCGTGGGCTCTGTTACTAACCGCAGGACTACCAGCTGCACTACTGTCGCTCTCGCTTGCTCACCACGCCCGCCTGCCAGCCCACCCCAGCTTTCTGTGTTTTTCTTTCCTCCCCGTTCCCACCACAGGTTGCTCACCAAGGTGAAGGGTTCGTAGCCGCTGGGATTGAAGACGCTGGCCTGGCCTCGTTCTCCTTTCTTGCCCTGGCTCAGCCGGGACCAAACCCTCTGATCAGTATTAGGGTTGGGGGGAGGTAGACACCAAACCCCCTGTCCCCACCACCCCCGCCCCCATGCAGGGCAGCAGTCATGACTAAACTCTCTGGTAATGAGGGCCTGGAGAGGACCCACCTTGGCTTCCAGCCCCTGCCGCCCCCCGTCCCTGCCACCCCCACACTATTTCTTAGGTGAGTTTTTGCAAATAAAATGTGTTTTGCATCTTGCTGGCTTGGGTTGGGAAGCCTCGAAAGTGCGAGGGAAGAAAGCATTCAGGCCTTGTGGGCATGATCCACCAAAAAGCTTTTATTACAAAGCCCGGGGGTAGCACGGGGGGCTCAGTCCTGTTGCTTGGTTCGGGAGGCCTCGGCGTTGGCCCTGAGCACAGCCCCTGGGGACGGGTAGGGGCGCTGCTGGAAGAGGGGCCCAGCTGCTGTCGTATCTGCACCCGTCTTGGCCTCGTTCCGCTTGGGGAGTCCGGTTGACCACGTGCCCCTGGAGGTGACAGAAGATCAGGGGGTGAGAATACGGGATGTAGTAGGCACCCCCCCCGCCGCCCCACTTATGACTGCGGGAAGGAGACAGTGAGGAAGAAAGGAATGGTCGCTGGTGTGGTGAGTCACAAGGCAAGAGAAGGGGTTGTGAGCAGTTGTCACTCACCGGGGTGCATCCGAGTACGAGCTGGGGTCCATGGGGTCTAACTCTTCATCCTTCCGGCTCGCCGCTGTCGAAGTAGGTGGCAGAGTGAGGTCTTCAGTGGAGGCACAAGGAGCCTCTGATCACTGAGTTCCCCATCCCAGGAAGAAATGGAGCCTGCGGCTGCGACAACCCACACCACCTTCTCCCAGATCCCACGTTTAGGCATCAAGGGAAGTGAGGGCTTCCTTCCATCATGCACCCCAGCTCTCCCTCGCCTCACCCCAGTCCCGGCCCTGTCAGCTTACCCTTCTTGCTCTTGGGGTAGGGAGCTAGCTCCTCCCGGCGATGGTGGCGCCGTTCTTTGCTCTCTTCTCGGTCTGCCTTGTCATACCCACGGTCCCGGTCCCGATCCCTGTCCCGCTCTCTCTCTCTGTCCACCTTGTCATAGCCTCGCTCTCGGTCTCGGTCAGACTTCTCGTGGCCCCGGTCTAACTTCTCGTGGCCCCGGTCTGACTTCTCGTGGCCCCGATCTGACTTCTCGTGGCCCCGGTCTGACTTCTCATGGCCCCGGTCTGACTTCTCATGGCTCCGGTCCAGCTTCTCTTCAGCATCTGGGGACATGAAAGCTTTGAAGTGACCTTCCTCCTCCCATCTCAGGACCTAGCAGCCTCTGCCTTTGGCAACCTCCCTGGCCTGAGCTGGGCCTGCCTGTCTCACCTGACCCTCCTGGATCCACCATCATTCACCTGACCCCTCTCTGAGAACTGCTAGAAGCCCTCGAGGCACGCTTGCATCTGCCAACTCACCTGTGTTACTGCTCCTGAGCTTCTTGGCAGATTTGGTAACAACGGAGTTGGGGTCATGTGGGGAGAGCCAGGACACGAGGTCTGTGTCCACATTCCAGTAGTAAGGGAGCCCGCTGCGGGGCAGTGGGAGAGTGGGAGGGAGGGAGAAAAGGAATGTCAGCATGGATGTTCCCCCTTTGTAGCCTCAACTCCTGTCTCCCCAATCTCTGCCTATACCTGCCCCACGTCAGGACCCCATGGGGAGGACCTCCATCTCTTCCCCTGTGTCCTCCATTTACCCCAAGGCCAGGGACGGCACAGGAAGGATGAAGTCAGAAGTCAGCTCCCCTCCCCGCCAGGTCCCCAGGCTCACCAGGATGGGTCGAACACTTTGTACCAACTTGGTGGCAGGCCCTCCAACCGGGTAGCCTCATAGTCCACAGGATCATCGTCGTAGTCCTCGGCAATGATCTCTTCCTCCGGTTCTGGCAGGGCAGGGATGGGGAGAGCAGTGAGGAGCAGGGGGATTCTCACCCTACACTTAGGGCCTGGGGAGATGCTCACAGTCACAGAGCGCGTGCGCCAGGTCTCAGCTGCCCTGGCAAATCTCACTCACATTCCAAATCCAAGTATCCGAATATACGGATTTACCAAAAAATGTACCTAAATCTGTTCTATTTCTGGGTTCACATAAGATATGATATATTGTTACCCAAACCTATCTGGTTTCAGAGTTTAGAAAGGGCTTCATCACCAAATGGATCCATATTTATTCAGGTCCTGAGTTCAGGTAGTTAACTGACACCACACTATCCAAACCTATTTGGATAAAATGAGTTTGAACAGCAAGGGGTTTATGTGAAATTATGTCCAGCTCTCTTCAGCTCCCAAGCTTGGCAAATATGGGGTTTCTGACTCCTGTATATTGAGTAGCAAGAGTCTGGACAGCAAGGGGTTATCTAGACACTGAGTCTATTCAGCTCCTGAGGCCTGACACACAGTAAGCACACAACAGTTGTCAGTTCATATCAGTAAAATAAAAAAGGTGTAGGCTGTCAGCCCAGTATCTGGCCCTCAGTAGGCCTAGCACAGATTTCAGCTGTGGAGATAACTAACAATGAAATGTACAGACAGATCTTGGCGATGTTGCAGGTCTGGTTCCAGACCACCACAATAAAGCGAATATTGCAATAAAGTGAGTCTCACACGGATTTTTTGGTTTCCCAATGCATATAAAAGTTAGGTTTACACTATACTGTAGTCTAGTAAGTGTGCAGTAGTATTATATCTAAAGAAACAACGTATGTACCTTAATTAAAAATACTTTATTGCTAAAAAATGCTAGCCAGCCTTCAGTGAGTTGTAATCTTTTTGCTGGTGGAGGGTCTTATAAAAAACACATTATCCGCAAAGCACGATAAAATGAAGTATGCCCCTATATGTCAGCAACACCATAGTGTCTGTCACACAGTAGGCCCAAAACAGATGTCAGCTATAATCATCAGTATTTTTAATAAGATATATACGGTCAGCACAGTGCCTGGTACTCAAGAGGCTGAAAATAAATATCAATGATCATTATCAGTATTATTAACTACAAGATCTATGTCTGGCACACAGTAGGTTTGTAATAGATGTCATTTATCAATAAGGTGAAAATAAGATGTATTTTCCAGTGCCTGGCATACTGCAGTCCAAAACTGATGCCACCTTTTACTATTATTGACAATAAGGTCTAAATATTAGCAGCAGCAGCACAGTAGGCCTACATGATACATCCTATCATTATTTTATACTGTTAACCATAATGTGTATGCCAGGCACTTAGTAGACCCAAAATACATGTCAGCTATTGATGTAGTGAACAATAAAACAATAAAAATCACCGGCACAGTGCCTGACACCATGGGAGGTCTGACGTAATGTCATCAGTATGGTAAAGAACAAAGTAGTAGCATCCTGCCACTGTACGTGGCACATGCACAGGAGACTGCAGATGTCAGCTACCTTTACTATTAGGTACTTTGTAACCACTTCCATGGATCGATTGATGGATTATACCTGGCATACAGTAGGCCCAAAACAGTCATCAGCTGTCAGTATTAAGGATGAAATGTCTATCTCCCCCGTGCCCGGCACGTGGTAGGAATCGCTGTCAGGAATCCATATTTTTAACCATGCCACCCCGCTGCTCGGTGCACAGTAGGCCCATGCTAGTTATCAAGTGGCAGTATCAACAACAAAGTGCCTGTCCAGCCTGGCGCACGGTAGGTCCAGCTGCTCTTAGCTCTCTCACCGGGCTCAAGATGTTTGAGGATGCCTCTCTTGGCCAAGCGGGTCTGTAGCGCAACGGGAAGCGGCATAGTGGGTACCAGACCGACCTAGGGACAGACAGACACTCTAAAAACCAGCGCAGATGAGGACTGCAATCTGGAGCCTGTAACCAAGTGCCTCCCCCGAGCAAGCACTCATCTGGACCCCCACCTCCCCACCAGCACCAATAGCTGGGGGGACAGAATCTACGCGCAAAAATGTGGGAGAGATGGCAATATCACCAAAACTCTCACCAATCCTCCCCGGCGGGCCCAGCGCTCCATAACCGGGTTCCTAGCTCAGGCTCCACCCACCGCCGAGGGGGTCAAGCGCAGCTCCCCCGCGCCCCAGAAATGGGTTCACCCAACGTCCCCCAAAGACTGCCGGGTAGGAGGAACCAAATCGCTGGGGTGGGGGAGGAGACTGCAGTACTTCCTCTAGCTCCAAAAAATGCGCCCACCCCGACGTTACCAATACAGTCACGTGGGTAGCAGAAGACTGTCAGGCCGGTCGCCTCGCTCTGGTTGCCGCTATGATCACCAGGACCCCACGACTCTCTTCTGCCAAAGCACTGAACGAGGTCCTCTCTCCCCGAGCCTTGGAGTAACTGGGTGACGCTCAGGCTGCGGTGAACAGATGACGCAAACCGGGGTGACCAATGAGAGCATGCCTTTGGCCTGCCTTATGGCCAAACGACCCAATCATTGCCCTGGAAGAGGTGGAGCGCTAGAGGGCCTGGGTGCGTTTCCAATGGGGGCGTGGCCCGGTCGGGGTTTAGCCAGACTGCGCGGCCGGACGCCGGCGCCATGGAGGAGTACGCTCGGGAGCCTTGGTACGGCGATGGGCACAGGCATCGGGACTGTTGCTGCGGCGCCACGGCCAGCTGTGGGAGGCGGGCGGGGGAGGCACCGGCCACACAGCGCCACGTCCCAGACTCGGGAGACGCTTAGAAACTTGTCTCCTTCGCTCCCGTCCACTTGATTCCTCCCACTCGGGCTCCGTTAAGAGAGGCCACAGCTGTGTGCCTGGAAGAGAAGGTGCGGTGCCGGACGAGACACTCCACGTTTCCCCTGATTACGTATACCCCAGTCCCTCTTTGTTAACGAAAAGACACGGTGGTCGAAACCATTCCAGCCTGGGGGGGGGGGGCGGCGTTGAGCGGAAATACCCAGGGTTACCACGCGGGGTTTTTCCCAGGTCGCTTTAGTTAGTGGGGGCGGGGCCTGGATGAGCCTATTCTGGGCAAGGAGGGGGTGCTGGGTCCTCCCCCACGTTCTGCTCTTGGTTTTTTCTATGTGTCTCGGTTAAAAAAGAGAGAAGAGGGCGGGGCTTGATTGGATGTGCTCCTTGTCGGAGAAGGGAGTGCGACCCTGTACTACTTTAATAGCAATACTACCTAGTTAACACTTCTAAAGCGCTTGTTTAAACGTGCCAACTCTTTGTTTGTATCAATTCATTTAATCTTTGATAGTAGTAAAGCTGATTCCTTGGTTGACTGCGAAGGGGAGGGTAGGACAGGGCGAAGACTACTGTTTTTCCCCCTTTGCACTATTTCTTGCTTACATGAGGGGAAAAATAATCTCATTATTATCTGAAGTGCTAATTCCCTTTCAAGAGACTTGGTTTCTTCCATTTGGAAGGAGTCCCTGTGATATGGCATGGGGGAGGGCTCACATTAACCCCGTCCCCCCCTTCCCGTTTGCAGCCCATGGCGGATTGTGGATGATTGCGGTGGAGCCTTCACTATGGGTGTCATCGGCGGCGGAGTCTTCCAGGCCATCAAGGGCTTCCGTAATGCCCCTGTCGTGAGTCCTGGCCTTCCCTGGGTGGTGCCAGGGTCCTGCCCTGCCCGCATGGGCTACTGCTCTGAAAAGTGCATGGAACTGCCGGTCACGTGCCCTTACTCATTCTGGTTCCTGCTCGCCTACTGTGTGCCAGGCCTAACTCCAGGATATGAGGTTTGGGAGGGAACTGCAATCATGACCTCTGTACCTCACCGCCCACCCAACTGGAGCTCCTTTGGAAACTCTGTGCTGTCAAAATGGTCATGCCAAATCCTAAATGGTGTGCAAAGCCGGACAGATTTTACCTAGAGGCAGATTCCGGGTCAGAAATCTGGATAGAGGGAAGTGACAGGAGGTTAATTGGCAGAGGGAGGGCAGCCTCAAAGTTGAGAAAATGCTTTTAATTTAACAAAAGCAATTCTGTCTACCTCCCCCCCGGGAGATCTCATCAAATGTCATGGCTTTAAACGGCATCCCTTTGCTAGGGTCTCTGCAGTTGATGTCTCTAGCCCTGTCCCTCCCCTCAACTCCTGGAACTCTGTTTCCTGACTCTTTGCTTGAGTTTCTCCCTCTCATCCTCAAGGTCTCAGCACAAATGCTCCCTCCTTAAAGAGGCCTTTCCTGACCCCTCGGCCCCTGCGGGATCTCTTCGTCCTGTTTCCTTTAGGGTGCATGTTGCTGTCTGAAGCTATTGTTTCTCTGCACCCTCGCTCGGGATCTGTCTCTGCTGCTACCCTGTGAGCTCTGAGAGGGCAGGGGCCAGGTCTGCCTGGTTCACTGCTCTGTCCCTGCGGACAGCAGAGTGCCTGGCACATAGGTGCTCAGTAATCATTGAGTGAAAGAATGAGCACTTCCCAGCCCAGCTCTGAGAACGCCTATGCTGGGGTGCTCCCAGTCCCCTCGTTCCTGGCTGCTTCTCCACGTCTCTCCCCTTGATACTCCTGACAGCTCTCCCACCGCCTTCCCTCTCTTGAAAGCTAGAAACCCTGTCTGCCAGTGGCCTCAGTCCCGCTCTGACGCCCCGCCCCTCGCTTTCTCCCAGGGAGTCCGGCACCGGCTGAGAGGTAGTGTGAACGCTGTGAGGATCCGAGCCCCCCAGATTGGAGGTGAGAGCCCTGTGGAGACATAGGAGATGTGATGGCAAAGTTGGGAGTGGCTGCTCCTTTGGGTCTAGACTGCAAGCTGGGGGTCCAGAGTCTAGGCTCAACTCTGCCTAGGCCTTCCTGGGGGAGTGATGTTTCCAAACAATTTAATATGAGTGAGTTCTGGAGTTTAAACCAGGCCCTCGCTCTTCCCTGCTGTGTGACCTTGGGCTAGTGGCTTAACCTCACTGAACCTCATCTGTAACATGGGGATGACGATAACAGTAACCACCTCGGTCGTTTTGTGATTTATGTAGTTTACATAGTACTTACTAAGTGCGAGTTGCTCTGGTAAGCACTTTAATAATATTAACTAATTTAAAGTTTCAGAAGTCAAATAGCATGCAGTGCCTAGATCAGGTCCTGGCACACAGTAAGGCCTCCGTAAACATTTTAACTATCCTGTTGTTATTGGGCTTTCCTGACCTCTTTCCTTCTCCCTGAAACCAAGTTCAGAATTTCGACAATTATAAAGATCACAGTTGCTCTGTTCAAAGCCATATAGAAGATAAACCTGCTTTTAAACACTTGTTACTCCCTTTGAAGGGGAAGGGAGTGTCAATGGCGATTATAGACAGCTTGAAGGAGCTCCCACAGGGACAGATGGGGACTATCCGCTACCCCCTTTGCATGTGCGTTTTTCTCCCCATTCTTTGCCAGAGTATTCGGGCCTTGGAAGTCCCCAGACCCTGAGCCGTGGATTCTCAGCATACCCCAGGAACACTAATTAGGACTTGGTCCCCCTGCAGGTAGCTTCGCAGTGTGGGGGGGCCTGTTCTCCACCATCGACTGCGGCCTCGTGCGGCTGCGGGGCAAGGAGGATCCCTGGAACTCCATCACCAGTGGAGCGTTGACCGGGGCTGTGCTGGCTGCGCGCAGTAAGTGCCCCATCCCCCGGCCCCAGCCCCTTCCACCCTGTTCTGCCTGCCCTCACCTCTCTGTCCCTGCCTCCTCACTCCTCCAGGTGGCCCATTGGCCATGGTGGGCTCAGCCATGATGGGGGGCATTCTGTTGGCCCTCATCGAGGGTGTTGGCATCCTCCTCACGCGCTACACTGCCCAGCAGTTCCGCAATGGTGAGTACCTGGGGAAGCTGGTCAGGGAGGGGGGACATGGTCTCCCTAGCCTCCTCCACTCACCTTTGCCTCATTCTCCCCTCTCCAGCACCCCCATTCCTGGAGGACCCCAGCCAGCTGCCCCCTAAGGAGGGTACCCCAGCCCCAGGCTATCCCAGCTATCAGCAGTACCACTGAGGAAGCGACCGCCTGTCACCGCCACCGTGGGAGCTCCTCCTCGGTTCCCTCCCCGATGATCTACCTCGAAGGGAGGGCTGGCTCCCAGTTGGCCCTGGGACCTTCCAGAGAGGGCCTCTACTCTGCTACCTTGTCCCAGGGTGGGGGTGGGGCACCCCAGCTGCCCTGACAGGGCACCCCAGCCCCACACTCACATGTAACAAGCTCTCACCCCAGTCCTTTCTTGTGGCGCCTTGATGAGTATTTAAAGCTAGTTTTCAAATGCCTATGTATGTACTCCTTGAGGTACCCATGGGACAAGGGCAGAGCCCTCTTCAGGGACTCGGAAGCCCTAGCATTTGGAGTCGCACAGAGTGGGCTCTAGTAAATGTTTGTGGGATGAATGAGCAGGAGGGGAGTGAATCAAGATGCGAATAGGAACACGAATAGGGGTGTGTGGGGGCCAAGTGATGAATCATAACAGACAGAGGAACAGGCTTGGGAAAGAAGGGAGTGAACGCAAGGATTGCTGGGCTGGAGCGGGTAGCTTTGCATGTTGCATACCCAACCCCCACACGCATGCACACCAACACCTCTGGCCCCGCCCCCCTTGCCCCCATTGCCAAGGCTGAGAAATCCGACCTCACAATGAACTGTCTTTCTGGATACCAGTCCCCTCATTGTGAAGGCGGTCCCCCTCCATGTGGCCTCACCGTGGACCTGGGATGGAAGCAAGGGTCAGGGCGACCTGGCCTCCGGGAAGGTGCCCTGTGTCAGTCTCTGTTCTGCACCATAGAGATGCTTCTGTTCTGCGATGCTCAGTGTTGTCAGTATTTTTTTTTAAGGGAAACCACAAAATCACTGGAAATGAGTTTTCATTTTGGGATGGGAGAGTTATGGGAAAGAGATTTTTCTGGATGGACATAGCCCCCAACATGTCTCTTCCATGCAAACCCTGACTCACAGGGCAAACATTGTCTCTGCTGGGGTGCAAATGCTCCAGTGCAAGTGGCCTCGTGGGAGACAGGAAAACTCCCTTTTGTGTAAGGCATCAAAGAGGTGGAAATGCCCTCTCTCAAGAAAATCAGCTCCCTGGGGTTGCAAATGCTGCGTCCTTGGGCCTCCTAAGGCCCCAACGGGGAACTGGCGGTCCCTAGTGGTAGCAGAACTACAACACTGCCTGCTTGATTGACTCAGTGCCAGGCCGTGCACAGCCACCCGACTGAGGGCCCCAGGGAGGGCAGGTTGGGGATACTGGGCACCCAGCACACAGCTCTCGCAGGGCCCCAGCCTCAAACACGTGGCTCCGCCAGCAGCAGCGACACACACCCCTGTGTAGGATGCGGTGCAAATCAGACCAGGGCTGCCACCCTTGTATTTCCTGGCCGCTTCCTCTGGTCTTGCCCTTTCTGTACGCCCGGGTCCCGCGCTTCCTCACCTCCAGGTTCCATCCACCCCCAGTATTTCCAGACCCCACTCTGCTCCTATCAAACGCCACCCCACTAGCTCCTCTGGGCCTTCCCCTTCCAGGAGGCCACAGGTTCCACCCCTCTCAGGCTGCCCTGGTGCGTGTCTTCAGGCCCCGCCCCTTGGTTCCTTCTGGCTCCGCCCCCTCAGGCTCCACCCCCCTTCCTACCTTTCAACCCTGCCCTCTAAGGTTCCTGTGGACCCTACCTGCTTTCTATATGGACTCGGGCACTTCTGAGGCCCTGTCCCTACTGTATGTCCCTGGTCCCCTCCAAATGGGCCCCGCCCCTTCAAGCCCCCTCCTCAGCAGCCTCTAGACCCTACCTCTTCGTATCTTCGGGCCTCGCCTTCTCCCGCTCCTAAGGTCCCACCCCTTCGGGTACCTCAAACCCCCGGGGGCTCCGCCCTCCTCTCTCGCCCCTGGGACCCTGTTTCCCGTCCCCGGTTCTGGAAAGCGGGTGGACCCCCCGGGCGGTGGAGCGGTTCATGGCTACCTTCGGGGCCTTTTCTGGCTCCTCGGGCCGCTGGCTGGCGCGGGGTGGGACCAGTAGCAGGTTTAGCGGAGGACCGGGCTTAGAAACCGAGGCTTGGGGCTTCGGGGGAGAGTCGTAGGGCATCACCCGGCCCCTAGTTGGGGCTGGAGCGCCCGGAGTTGCCCAGGTCTCCGGAGCTGGGCCTAGGTCCTCAGGGCCCGTCCCCCGCCTGGCTGCGGGCCTGCTTCTCTTCCTAAAAGAAGGGAATGCGGGGTCAGCCCCGCCGGAGGGACTGCAGAGGGCGAGAGAAGGCGGGAGATAGACGGAGAGTGAGACAGAAACAGAGATGGAGAGAGAAATAGAAACAGACATACACATAGGGAGGTGGAGACATTAATGAAGATGTAGAAAGAGATGGAGGCAGAGAGAGACATACAAAAGATAATCGAAAAGAGACAGAGACACGAAGAAAGGGCAGAGATGGTAAGAGAAAGAAGCTGTGTGAGTCAGAAATGCAGGTAGGGATGTGGGAAGACCCTCAGCGTCAGATGGAGACAAACGCAGGAGAGAAGGCAAGAGGGCGAGGAGGCAGTGTGGAGTTGTGAGCTGGATTGAGGGGCTGGGCCGACAGGGCTGTCAGGCCAGGCCTCCTCAGGCCACCTGCCCACTTACCCTCTAGCTGAGGGGCCTCAGAGAGGCAGAGAGATGCCCGACCTGCGTCCTTTCTTTCTCTCTAGCGGTCTCTCTCACTCCGTCTCTAATTTAATCCTGTCCTCTTCCAACAAGGATTCCACCGGCTCTCGTTCACTTCTTCCTCCCTGTCTTCTTTCCTGCTTCCTCCCTGCCTTAGCCTCACCTCTGCCTCTGTGTGTCTTGATCTGGCCCCCAGCCCTCCTTCCCCATTTCTCTGCTTTGATCTCCCTGGCTGGTGGCTCTCACACTCTCTTTTGCCATCCATCTGGGAGCGGGGGCGAGAGGTGGGGAGGAAAATATTTGGTGAGCTAGGAGGGTTAGAGGGGTGGACAGAATCAGGGAAGAACAAGAGCGTCTAGCCCTCAGCAGGGTGGGGAAATCACCCTGTCCACTTCCTCAGGCAGGGGCCCTGAGAGGCTGGGGAGAGAGACCTGGGGAAATCAAAGACAGACAGGGAGAGAGAGAATAGAAAGGCTAGCGAGAGAGACATAGATACCAAGAGGAAGAGAAGCCAGAATGTACAGAGACATCAAAGGAGAGACAGAGATGCAGAAAAAGAGAGATACCGAAAGAGAGAAAAGGATATAGTACAACACGTAAAAAAGAGAGAGGAAAGAGTTAAAGCGAGGAGACAGATGGAGATTGGGCGAGTTAGACAGACAGAGGTAGCAAACAAGAGATACAGGGGCAGAGAGAGTCAGAACAAGACAGAGAAGGTAGAGACAGCAGAGCGTCAGAACAGAGAGTGGGAGAGAGAAAGTAAGAGAGACAAGAGAGCTGGGCGCACACACCTTACCCAGAGTCTGGGGTTGCTGGGCTGAGCACTCTTATTTCCTCTGTTCTCTTCGTGGCAGTGGAGATCCTGGCCTGACTGGGCAGGACAGCTCCGATATCCCCACCCCCACCACCCCAGGTCATCAAGGTGGGTGGGAGGGCCGCCCCCCCCCGGGGATACACCTTTAGAGATAATGCCCTGAGATTGGGAACCGGGAGGAATCTCAAGGAGCCATTTAGGGCCAACCTCTGGAACCGACCAGTGGGGGCCGTCTCTGGGGAATCTGCAGTGTCGTCAGAGTACCTGCAAGCATGTGGAAGAGGAAGGCTGTGCCAATGATCGCTTCAGAGGTGATGGGGAAACCTTCCTTTGTTACCCTGATTATACATAGGAGGAAAGCGAAAGCACGAAGCGGTAATGCAACTGGCCCATGGTTGTACTGCCTGAAAGTGGCAAAGCGTTTATATCCTTATTTACAGTGCTTCGAGTTTCCGAAGGTCACTGCCACAGCATGGCTGATGAGTGCAGCAGGTGCACGCCCGGGCTGCCAAAGCAGTGTGGAACCTTAACCACTCAGCCATGGGGCTGGCCCCAAGGATTTTTTTTTTTTTTTTAATTTCAGTGAAATAATGAACATGTTGTATTTTCCTTCACAAAAGGAAATCTCAATTCCTTTAGGATCTGCCCCCACTGAACCCCATTTCCTTAGTAGTTTCAGTCCACACAGGCTCTCTGCACATCCTTCATTTTCCCCCTGCTGGAGTCTAGCTTCTGGAGACTTACAGAGGACATGGGGAGAATGAGCTGTCCTTGGAGGTCATTTCTTCACACAGGCATCTTCTGAGATGTGCCAGATCCTGTGTGGTCTTCAGGTGTTGATCCATGCCTGATGCTTCTGCTTTATCCCTCAAACTGGCTAGAGGATACCTCCAGGTCCACCTCTCTCTCGGTTAAATCTGTGTCCCTCAGGACAATAGGAAATATTGCTTGGTCTCCCCAAGCATAGTGGGAGCTTGATGGTTTTGTGTGGCCCATCTTCCTAGATCAACATACGGAGGTATCTATCCCCAAAAGACATAGTCAGCTTCAAAACATGTAATTGATAAAGGATGACTAGCCACAATATATAAAGAGCTCCTACAAAATAATAAGAAAAAGACAAACAACCCAATAGAAAAGCAAACAAAGGATATGAACAAAATCTTACAAAAGATGAAACTCAAATGGCCAATAATATATGAAAATATGCTTACAGTAAATCAGAGAGCTGTGTATTAAAGCATCAAAATACTATTTCATAATCAGAAGGGCAAAAATTTTTTAATCTGATAATACCAAGTGTTGCTAAGGATTTCTAGAAACAAGGTGTCTCATTCACAGCTGATGGGAGTGTAGTGGAGACAACAATCATTTTGGAAAACTGTTTGGCAGTAGCTACTACAGCTGCATATATGCACAGTTATCACCCAATGATGCCACCTCTAGGTATACACCTAACAGAAATGTGTTCAAGTGTTAACCAAAGCCATGTACAAGAATGTTTACAGCAGCTTTATTCATAATAACCCCAAAGTGAAAACTACCTAAATTTGCACCAACTGAAGAACAAATCAATAAATTATGGTGTATTCGCACAATGTAGAATGTATACTACAGAGCAACGTGCTGGAGACAAGCCTCCACGGGTTTCTCATGTTCCTGCACGGTCCAGGCCTTCCGAGCAGAGGGTATGTTTGAACAGTTTTGAAAATTAAAGATAGTGCATCCTCCCGGAAAGATTTAGAGACAATTCAAGATAATAAACCTAGAAATGCCCTTCCCACCTCAACCAGGAGACTGCTGAAATCCCAGGGTAGCGAGTCATCTCTGCCTGGGAGGGGA